ACCCTCAGATTGCGAGTCGAGCGCCCTAACCACATGGCCATGGCTCAGTGGTTAACTTGATAACTTATGACTCTTAAGTTTAGAATTCAATCCCTGCCATATACACAACACAGACACTCAACCATGCATTTCTGTGCTCATCAAACCATGTATTTTCTCGTCCATATAAAACATTTTATATATTTTTTTCTCGTTTCTCAGTTGAAACAGATTTCAAATTTTTTTTTGTTTAAAATTTTATTATAATTTTGATTTCCTGTTTTTGAGGATACAATTTTTCATTTCTTGATTTTATTTGGGCGTTTGGCAGTTCTTTGTTTATTTCCACTGCCATTACAAGTTCTCACCGAAAGGCTAGAAAGTCACGTGATTTATTTTTATTTTATTTTCAAGCAACATGATAAGATGGCTGCTGATCCAGCAGTGGAAGCGATAGGCTTATGTTCCAGTCATTCTTTCAATTGTTAGTATTTAATCATCCTGTTCTTCTAATAAACAGACGCTATTATATCAAGAGTGGAAAAAATTGACATCTTTTTGTACAATGAAAGGGAAAATCTTCATTATTAAGAATGGATAAGCTACCATTGTCTCTCATATCTAAGTGTATAATAGAAGTATTTACACCTCTCTCATTTCAGACAGTTGGCTTACTAGGACTTTAATGGCCTTGGTACGTAAGTTTAAGGCCTGAAATGACTTGGCGATTAAGGTACTCAACTTGCGATCTTCGGATCATGGGTTCGAATCCTGTCACCAAGCATGCTTCCACTTTCAATCGTGACAACATTATAATGTGACGGTCAATCATACTAATTCTTGATAAAAGAATAGCTCAAGAGTTGACTAGCTGCCTCCCCTCTAGTCTGTCGCCTCAAAGTTAAGGACCGCTAGCGCAGATAACCATGAACGAAATTCAACAAACAAACAAACATTTAACAAACAAACAAAAGAAGAAATATCTTATTGATACAAATGATTCAAACCAAAAAATAATAATAAAAATATCAGCATCTGCTCATGAGAAGAACAAGATAACAAAACTAAAATTCGAAGAGTGACGATAAAGGGGGCTTAAAGGAGGGTAACATGGTATATAAATCTGTCAGTTAAATCACGATAAAGGGGGCTTAAAGGGGGTAACATGGTATATAAATCTGTCAGTTGAATCACGATAAAGGGGGCTTAAAGGGGGTAACATGGTATATAAATCTGTCAGTTAAATCACGATAAAGGGGGCTTAAAGGGGGGTAACATGGTATATAAATCTGTCAGTTAAATCAGTCTTTTTTGTCGCCATTTTTACACGCGGCTTGAAAAGTGACGTTTTGTTGCGGTGAAAAATACAGAAAACCAAAAATTACCACAATCATACGTTAAACAAAATTTCTAAAAACATATGGTAAGATGAAAAACGACAACAGGGGCGCGGATTTGTTCAGGGTCTTAAAATTATCTCTAAAACAAAACGGTGTATCTTGTCTTTCCTGTAAAATGTATATGTGCTTGCAGGAAAAACATGTTATGCAGGAGCGGAGATTTGCTCAGGCTCTTAAAATTCTCTCTCTCAAATTCAGCTACCCAGTGGCTCAGCGGCAAGCCTCTAGGCTTACGACGCTAAAAATCGTGTTTAGACTCCGTGGTGAGCAGAGCACAGATAGTCCATTGTGTAGCTTTGTGCTTAACAGAAATTAAAACCTCTCAAGCTCATGGTGGTGATGCAATCTGTTTCTATTACCTTCTATTTCTTTTCATAACATTTTTATATCAAAATAATAAAAATATAACTTTTGACCATTTTTAAATGCATCGTGATTCGGGAGATCGATGATGGTCATTCTTATAACAGCAATGATTATAGTACACATGATATAATTATTTATAATTAGAGCACATCATAAATAAACCATCTTATTAAATAAATTGTAGAATTGTAGAATTATATGTTTAAATCCATATTTAGAGAAATCACGATTTTTTTGTTCACTGTTTCAAAATATGTATAACAAATTAATTTTATACGGCCCGGCATGTCCAGGTGGTTAGGGCGCTCGACTGACAATCTGCGGGTCGCGGATTCGAATCCCCGTCCCACCAAACATTTCAGCCGTGTGGGCGTTATAATGTGACGGTCAATCCCACTATTCGTTGGTAAAAGAGTAGCCCAAGAGTTGGCGGTGGGTGATGTTACACTGCTAAATTAGGGACGACTAGCGTAGATAGCCCTCGTGTAGCTTTGCGCGAAACCCACAATAAACAAACAAACAACTAATTTTATTCATCGAAAAGAGATAGAAACAGTGTTACGTTAGGCTTAACACACTAATTTTTCATATAATGCATTGTCTGAACATTGTCATCTTTGTGATGGCAAACAAAAGTAAAATAAATGCTCATTAGGTCTCTAACAACTCGGAGAACCCGGGTTCTTATTTTACTTTTGGTGTAAAACAGCAGTCAAGTGTGGAAATAGGCTTAATTGGCCACGTGGAATTTCCCTGGTTGTTCTATAAACAGGACACAAGGTGAAAAGCACATACCGCTGTGTCACTGGGGGGGGGGGGGCTAGTCATCTCACCTACCGGCATCGTGGTTTGGGCTAATCTTAACTAGCGAAAAGTAGTATTCTACTGTCACTCTTATAACATACCCACGCCCCCAAAACGTGGGCGCGGTTTTTGCAGCAACGAGACGCGAAACACCAATCCTCGAATTCAAAGTTCCAGCACACTAATCTCTAGCCTACGACCAGCCCTTGTTATAGCGCAAAGTAAGACAATGGGCCATGTGCTCTGTGTCCGCCGCGAGTATCAAACTCCGAATTTTTATGGTATTTGATAACGAGTAAATATTATTTGTAAAGCACTTTAAGTTTTTTTTTCCCCCGTGGGTTTGATAAAGTCCATTGAAATAAACCTGATGAATAATAAAAAGTGAAAAGTAAGAATAATAGGCTTACCTATTGTTGATATGTAGGTGTCGTAGAACCGTTCATCACAATACCGATGTACAATACAAGTTTTCCCCACATTGCTGTCGCCCAGCACGAGAATTTTGTAAGTCGCAGCGAAATCCACCGCCATCTTACCAACAGAAACGATTGGGAGTGGTACGCTGTAACTTATCATGAACGCGAAAGTACGACATCACCGCCCCCACACGGTCGCGTGCCGAATCTCCGTGAAGTCGCGCCAGGCTGTCTATACGAAATACTGTGAATCATGAGAAGCTCGGGCTTCATGGCGCCATCGGTCGACTTCATGTCTGTGTTTGAAGTACGTTTTTAATAGGTGAGCTTTAAAGGTTATTTGAAGAAGGAGGGTTTAGTCTCTGTGATGTAATGTATACTGCCACGGACGAATAAAAAAATGATTCAATATTTGATTTTCGAAGTTTAAGTTATTTACAAAGCACCACTCAGAAGATATTTTTGTTTTGATATTATGAGGGTTTAAACTCAAAACTCTCTTGACTTTCATCGTAATATTCTATAGTGAAATTCCCTATCGTAACCATGACAACTACCACATACACACACAAAACACTTCCAGAAAACAAAAAACAAAACAAAACGAAAATGAAAAACAAAACAAAACGAAAATGAAAAACAAAACAAAACAAAACACAGCTAACCCACAAAAT